TCTTTCTTTGTCAAATCCTTGTGGCAGGAATATTAGCTGAGTGCACCATGGTATCTTTTAGATGGTGCTTAATCAGACAACTGAAAGATTTCTGTGAGAGGCAGAGCTTCTCTCTTCTGATGGCAGTTCACTCTCACACCGATTTTCAAAAACCCTCTTCTTAAAAACCCTTGATGACCTGTCAATTTTCTTTTAATAGGATTAGTCCTAAGTTGTCAACACCATCAGATTTAAATTCAATTGGTTTTCAGTCTCTAAGGGCCTGATATTTAAATTAATTGACTGATATTCAAGCTGGTTGCCTTAACATCAAAGCAAACCTAAGGTTGCCACCCACACAGCCAATTGATACATGTTTCAATTTCAGAACGGTCTGTGCATGTGCAGCTGCTTGCAGACTTTTCCTTCATCTCCAACCTTAGAAAAGCATGTCACCTCTTAAAAGGGATGATGTGCTCTTCTCCCCCCCCATCATTTTAACCAACAAATACTAAATCCTGCCTTCCAATTCACAAGTGCTCTACCAACTTTGCAACACCACCTCCCTTCAGAAAGAAATGATCCATTATGAAAAGATGGCTTCATCTTTTAAAATAAATCTTAATGCCATTTTTACTAAATCCACAATGCATTAATCTAGAGTTACACATTTCATACTAATTCTATATGCATACGTAACATTGAACACCACCATTTATATCTTATGCACACATTTTCTTTTAAACCCACGATAATGCATCTGCATTAACATTTTTACAATCCGCAACATGTACGGTCTGTAAATTAAATACTTGTAACATAAGACTCCAATGAAATAGTTTGGTGTTCTTGTCCTTAAATCTTTCCAAAAATGAAAAAGGTTTGTGATCAGTACAGACAATAGTCTCTGATACAACATTTTACTGTTTGTGTTGCGAACAGTGTAAGGCCAGTACCATACTCAATAACTCTTTTTCAACTGTTGAGTATTTTCTCTGGTGTATATTGAGTTTCTTTGAAAAATAACCGATTGGTCTTTCAATTCCACATCATCCTTCTGTAACAAAACAACTCCAACCCCTACATCGCTTGCCTCAATAGCAACTTTAATAGGTCGCAAGAAATTTGGTTTGGCTAAAATTGGTGCGGTGGTTAACACAGCTTTTAAATTCTCAAGTATCTCCAGGCATTGTTCTGTCCACCAAAATTTCATGTTCTTCTTTAACAAATCCATCAGCGGTGCCACCATGGTACTAAAGTTCGGTACAAATTTCCTGTAGAAGCCGCATAGTCCTGAAAAGCGTAGCACCTCCTTCTTCAAGGATGGTCTTTGAAATTTCTTGATGGCCTTCATCTTCACATTCCTTGGTGTCATCCTTCCATGTCCGTTGCGTTCTAAGAACATCACTTGTCTTCACAAATTCAGTTTTTGTTAAATTTATAACCTGTTTTGCCTTCCGTAGTCTTTCAAAAGAGCTCTGCCACATGCACCATGTGATCTTTTCACAAATGGCTAAAGATCACTAAGTCATTTATATAGTTGGCACAATCAGTCAATCCTGCCACAACTCTGTTCGTAAGTCTTTGAAAAGTGGCTGGTGCATTCTTCATTCCATCAGGCATTACTTTGAATTGATACAGCCCATTTGGGGTTGCAAAAGCAGAAACTTCTTTTGCTGTCTCCAACAAAGATACTGACCAGTAACCATGAGGTAAGTCCAACTTTGTGACGTAAAAGGCTCGTCCAACATTTTCCACACAGTCTTCCAGCCATGGAATTCGGTAGAAGTCTGATTTAGTCACAGCTTTAACCTTCCAATAATCCACACAGAATCATTGAGTACCATCAGGTTTGGGAACCAACATGATAGGCGAACTCCATTTGATTTGATTCGGCTCAATGATATCTTCTTGGAGCATTGTTTTCATATCCTTCTCTTCCTGTGCTACTTTGAGAGGATTAAGCCTGTAGGGGTGTTGGTTTATCAGAACAGCATTCCCTATGTCAACCTCACATACTATAGTATTAGTTTTCCCCATTCTATTACTACATATATCCTCGTAGTGCTGCAACAAGCCTTTTAATTCAGTTCTCTGTTCCTGAGACAGATAGCTTACTACCATATCTCATTCTTTCAGGACTTTCTCATTATTCAATTTATTATGAAACACATCAAAATCTGAATTACCTGGATTTGATTCCTCACTCTGAGGGGCAGTAACTAATACCTGCTTTTCCGGTTCCCTTTCCCAGTCATAGTAAGTTTTCAGCATATTCACATGACATACCCGATAAAGTTTTTTTCCTATCTGGATTCTTTACCAGGTAATTCACCTTACTTAGCTTCTCAATCTGATAGAGACACTAGATCTTGCTTTGAAGGGATCTCCTACCACTGGTAATAGCACCAATACTTTATCCCCATGGGCAAATGTACGAGTTTCTTATCTGCCTCTTCCTTCATTAGGTGTTGTGCCATCTTCAAATGTTGTCTAGCTAATTCACCTACTCTGTTTAATCTTTCTTGCACCACAGGTACATAATCCAACTGTGAGATCTCTGACTTCAGACCTATCAACCTTAATTAATTTTAAGGGCCCTCTTACTTCATGTCCGAGTATCAATTCAAATGGAGTAAACTGAGTCGACTTATTTTGAGCATCTCTCATCACAAATAATATAAATGGGATACCTTTATCCCAATTATCTGGGTAATCCTGGCAATAAGCCCTCAGCATGATCTTTAGTGTCTGATACCATCTTTCCAATGCTCCTGGGATTCAGGCTTGTATGTACTTCATTTAAAGTGTTGGACACCAAAACTATTCATGACCTCCTTAAATAATTTGGCAGTAAAATTGGACTCTTGGTCTGACTGAATCTCCCTGGGTAGTCCAGAATGAGTAAACAAGCCACTCCTCCACAATCTTTTTGCCTTAACATTCCGTAATGGAATTGCCTCCGGAAACCTGGTAGATATGTCCATTATGGTTAGCAAATACAGTTTTAGGGAGGCGACCTACACAATCAATCATAACCTGCGTGAAAGGTTCTTCAAACACAGAAATTGGCATTAAAGGCGCTGGTTTTATTACTGCCTGCAGCTTTCCTACCATCTGACACATATGACAGTTGTGGCAAAATTCAACCAGATCTTTATGTAATCCAGGCCAATAGAAATGCTTCTGTATCTTAGCCTGTGTCTACCTCACTCCTAGATGACCTCCTACAGGTAATTTGCGTCCTACCTGCAATACTTCCTTGTCTGCGTTGCCGGCCGCATACAATCTGGTGAACTTCCTCCTCTGCACTAACGTGCCAAGGTCTCCATTTCCACGTTAGGATTCTATCCCTAAGGTAATAACACTTGGGAATACATTCTGATTCCTTTTCCAAGAATAAGGATATGATATTAATCTTTTATTGTCTCATCTTTATGTTGTAACTCCATTAATCTCTCAGAACTAAACACCTCTGCCTGATCTTCTACCTGCACAGACTTTTCCTTTACCATTCCATCAAACAGAGTGCCAGCTAACTGGGCCTCAACTCCATCTTTGTCTTTGGTTTTCCCCTCTTGCTTTAACCTATGACTGTGGGATCTTGTCACCACACAGTCCAGAAAAATTCCAGGGTTTTTTTCTTTTAACTCCTCAATTCCCTGGTTTTCCTTTGGCTTCTCCACTAGGAGAGGCATCACTCCCATCTTTGATCCTGCTAGGTCATTTCCAAGGACAAACTGTATTCCTGGAATAGATATTCGGTCAATCACTCCTACTGTCACTTCCCCAGTCTTGATTGGACTTTTTAGCATTATCTTACACAGGCGAATGCTAAATCTTTCTCCATTTATTCCACAGATTATCACTCTCTCAGGTAACATTTCAGAAGGAGTGCAAATACTTTCATCTTACTACTAAAGACTGACCAGTTGCCATATGTCTCAATGTTTTAACTTCTTTACCTTCTCCCCCTATTCTTCCTCAGTAAAACTTACCCACACAGGTGAAGTCCTCGAAAGATCGGTCACACTCTTACTATCCAGCTGGTGACTAGGCTGTGCACTCTCCTGCAGCTTCTGGACTTCTTTTGGGATTTCCTTCACTATCTCAACTAATCCCACTGGTTTAGACTCTTTTACCACATCCCTTCCTCCAAGGACTCTCTTAAACCACCAGCACTGTGACTTCATGTGTCCTCCTGTATTACAGTGGCAACACCTGAGGCCTTTCATCTGTTTCCCATCTTCTTGGGTTTCTTTTTTCATGTGTGGTAAGCTGTTACCAGTGTGATCTACTTTTTGTTTCTCATTGAAGAAAAGCACATCACCTCTTAAAAGGACTATGCACTCTTCCCCCCACCCCCCCCATCATTTTTACAAACAAATTTGAAATCCTGCCTTCCAATTCTCAAGTACTCTACCCAACTTTGTAACACCCTCCAGCCCCCATTCACATCTACACAGGGGAGCAAGAATTGCAAATGTGTCTGATAAGCTCAAGGGCTGACAATCCTCCAGCACTACCTCCTGGATCTCTCTACCTGCAAGGTAAGACAGTGCAACGTGGTGAACTGCAACTTTCCTTCCACAATATAGAGAACTTCAAACTGCAGCAATGCAGACAGATAAAGTCAAAATTAGGATATTCAAATTCAACATCAGATGTCCGAATAAAAATCGACCACAGCAATGTGTCCAGGCATAGTGTTTCGACACAGTTCTTGCAATATTACGGGTGTCTTTTGCCACAGTGTATCTGGGGGCAAGGAAGGTGCAGTTGACATTTTTTAAAATTGTTCAAACATGTGGGTGTCACTGGTTAAGTTGGCATTTATTGCCTATACCAAATCCCCTTGCAAAGCTGGCGTTGAGCCTCTTCCGGAGCAGCTTCAGTTCATATGGTGGAGGCACACCCACAATGCTGTTAGAGAGTTTGACCCAGTAATAGTGAAGGACCATTACATTGTAGGTGCTGGCAATTGAAGATCTTACAATAAGAAAAGTTCAAAAGCAACTGCATTTTAGAACAAACAAGTTTCTTTTTAATGCCATTGTCACATTTTGTTCAAAAAAATAAAGTACAGTTTGCAAAATCAGGAACAGTGAAGGGACTGTTCACCACCCTTTGCTTAAATTAGATACATGGACTTAATTTTACATACAGCTACTGGAGTGGAAAATGTTACGAGGTATTTTGGATGAATTGACCTGGATCATCAATAGGTCCCTGTGTCACAATTAAAAGGCACCTCACAGAAGTACCCAGGCATTTGGGTACGTAATATATTCTGTACCATCGAAGAGGCAGTGCTGTGTGGTCATGCGCAACTTTTATCCAAGATACAATCAGAAGCACACTACCTGGAAAGTCTCAATCAGCTACTACACAAGGCCAGTCCAATATTTAGACCATCATCCTGATATTTAACCCTCTCAGTCCAAAGATCAAATGAACAGATGTCATGTTACCTTTCTCCCCCCCTCTAAAGACCCAATTCCACAGGACTCTTGATATGCTGCATAGTTAATCCTACCTTGTTTTGGACCACTGGCTATGACCAAAGTCTTTTAGATCACTGCAACATGTGACTTAAAGCTGGGTTTAGTCTTAGAGTGCGACTTCTTTTCCTGGCAGACCGATGTGGTTGCAGCTGGATTGCTCTACCTATTTGCCTGATGGCCATCAAGTTTTCTCCAGGGTGGCTCAGACTTACTCCCCCACCCCTTACCAAAGTGGTCTGAAATATTACTGCAGACCCTTCCACAGTGCAGATCAAGCAAATACAATGAAGCAGTGGGAGATCTACATCTCTCTAAAACCAGTCCATTATCCACAGTTCAACTTCAGAAGGCAAGGGAGTCTGAAACAAATTTCTGTAATAAACTTGGATAGGTCACTTGCACAGGTATGTTAGCGGTATTGTGTTTAGGATCCAGCAGTTCAGGGAAAATTGACGTCAAATTCAGAGGTATAAAGTGTGTGCTATCATCACTATATCTGTGGCCATGCTTTTGTACCTGGTTCAGTTGGAAAGACATTTGGATAGTACACTAAGCTATTGCCGGGCTCCAAAGGGTTAAAAAATACAGGAATTACAAATCCTTTACTTGGTAAATATTAACCATTTAACTTTCCCTTTTGATATATGCTACCAAAACATTTCCTGTCACTCCATGTGACAATCCGTCACCAGGTTAATCGGCAAAGCGTACCACAATCGAACTAGTTGGTGTTAGCTGGCATTAGGATGATCTGTTTGTCTTTGCCTGCCCCTCAGTTAACGTATCTCCTCAGAAAGAAGCAGCAGAGATAGTGAACTCACTGATATGGCGAGTCACTGGACTAGAATCAACTCTGTGCTTGAGTAATGAAACAATGGCCAGTGATCTTGACAGCAGTGGTATTACTTGACAAGTCAGGCAGTGTTAGGAATACTATTGCATAGCAACACAACTCTTAGCGTATGTCAAAACTTCTGTGTGAAGTATAATTAGAATGAGAGTCAGTCTCTTTCAGAATGATACAAGTTCTGACAAATGACATACCATTAACGTCTCCTAGCAATCTTGTTCAATATTTGACAACTTTGCCATGTAACTTCTCCAACTGTACGTTGTGAGATAACTCTTAAGTGCATTCTAACATCAAGCAGTTTGAATAAACATTAAACTGTTTTTTTGCAAATGACATATATGGGCTAGCCAGAAAAATTGTTTTGGCGTGGTACCCCAAGGAGGGTTCGTGTACACATGATTGCCAAGCACAGAAACACAATGTCCCTTTAAGTCACCTTTTATAAGTTTAAGATAGTCTGTAATACCCCATTTACAAACTCTCTAAGGCACACAACAGCGCAGTGTCAATGCAAAGACAATCTGCTGAAGGGCTGCTGAAAAGTACAGTGTTTTTTTGTTTCAAAACAAAAAAGAACATGGAAAAGCAAGGAACGAGGGTTTGCACAAGCCTGGGACTGTTACATCATTCAAACCCAGCGAACAGATTATGCACATGATCAAAACACCACTTTCTTAGAATACTGTAAATCATTTCTGAAAATGAAAACTTCCTTAAAATGACTCCCTACAATGTCAAAGGGATTTCATAATTAGAAAATGACAACATTTTTATCTCATTTCATGATTCACAATAATCTAAGTGTACATTTTAAGGTGCTAATCCCTCCTACAATATCATTTTATTAGGAAATGACCAGACAAAAGTTCCTGCGGGTTTCAAAAATCATTTAGGAGCAACTCTTGACTCTAAGGTTTTAAAACAGACTACATACAATATTAGCAGGAAGAGACATCCTGAACAGGATGCCAGTTAGTACTGGGGATTGTTTCAGTTACAGGTCTATGCAGCTAAAGAGGTCTTTGATTCTCTGCCTCAAGAACAGAGACACTGATTATTTCACTATAACAAACTTAAACTCCCTGTTCATTGAGAATGCTGGTGAAAGGCTTATTGCTCATTTTGATGTTTTGTACTGCGTACAGTAATAGCATTTTAACTTCAGATGTTGCAGACTGATACAGTTGTAGAAGCATATAAAAATTGATTTTGCTGTATTTGTGCATTCTCTGAAAAATACAGCTGAAAAGCTTATTTTTGAACATCTTTATAAATAATAAAAATCTGCCAACTCTATGTTGCATCATTTAGTTAATCATGGATGGTTGTGGGGAGGATAATGCAAAGAGGGAGTTAAGATTTTTGGTGGAGGTTGATCACCAGTGAAACGTGACTTCATTATTTACTGTACCAGCCTACAACAGTTAAGAGTGCTTTACAAAATATAAAATTACCAGTATTATCATTATAACAGGTCATTAGGTGTTGATCCCAGTTATGGGACTTTGTAAACAATTATCCAAAATACTGTATGTATAGCTTTTAAAAGAAGTCTACTTTTTTAACGTGACCCCTCAAGCTATCAGAAAGAAGTGGGTGATATTTTAGCACAAGGTAGAACGTGGAATATCAACTACAAAACATAATTGAGTTTGGAAAATGCCAGGTAAGATATTAAAAAAAATTAGATTGAGAAACAAGGATCTTGAATGTTCAGCACCCTGCAGAACAGTTTCTAATAATTGCAATTACCTTTTTTTAAGTAAATAAAAAATAGTCAGTATGTCTACAGTCTCAAGTCACTGTGCAGGATCATAATTTGGTGTGGTGGCCTGGGATGGATGCTGAAGTGGAAGCTGAAGTTGATGCTGCTGCACCCTCTCCCTCCCCGAGCTCATCCTGCAGCTCTTGGCTTACGCTGGTCTGGAGTGCGGCAGGTGTTAGCCATTCTTTCGGCAAGCAACTCTGGAGAAATGGAATGCAGGAACTGAAGTGAGCTAGCCGGTTAACCCAGCGAGGGATCTCTTTGCCACAGAGGATCTGTTACAAAAGAAAAGCAGAAATAACATGCCATTTTTAAATTGTTCCCAACTTTGATTTTCTTTGAAGGAGTAAAGTTTGGTATTATTCCAACGACAAAGCAAATTGCTGCTTTGCAGACAGCTGACCAAAGTCATCCACGAGGAGCTCGAACAGTTCATCCACTTCACCAACACGTTCCACCCCAAACTTAAGTTCACCTGGACCATCTCTAATACCTCCCTCTCCTTCCTGGACCTCTCTGTCTCCATCTCCAGCAACCACCTAGAAACCGATATCCACTTCAAGCCTACCGACTCCCACAGCTACCTAGAATACACCTCCTCCCACCCACCTTCCTGCAAAAATGCCATCCCCTATTCCCAAATCCTTCGCCTCCCAGGATGAGGCATTCCACTCCCGTACATCTCAGATGTCCTCGTTTTTCAAGGACCGCAACTCCCCCCGGCTCCTCAGTGGTCGAGAACGCCCTTGACAGTGTCTCCCGCATTTCCCGCAACTCATCCCTCACACCCCGTCCCCGCAATAACAACCAAAACAGAATCCCCCTCGTCCTCAAGTACCACTCCACCAACCTCCGGATCCAACGCATCATCCTCCGACACTTCCGCCATCTGCAATCCGACCCCACCACCAAAGACATTTTTCCCTCCCCACCCTTATCTGCTTTCCAGAGGGACCACTCTCACCGTGACTCCCTTGTCCGCTCCACACCTCCCTCCAGCCCCACCTCACCCGGCACTTTTCCCTGCAACCGCAGGAAGTGCTACATCTACCCCTACACCTCCCCCCTCACCCCCATCCCAGGCCCCAAGAAGACTTTCCACATCAAGCAGATGTTCACCTGCACACCTGCTAATGTGGTATACTGCATCTGCTGTTCCTGTTGTGGCCTCCTCTACATCGGGGAAACCAAGCGGAGGCTTGGGGACCGCTTTGCAGAACACTAACGCTCGGTTCGCACTAAACAACTGCACCTCCCAGTCGCGAACTATTTCAACTCCCCCTCCCATTCCGCAGACAACATGTCCATCCTGGGCCTCCTGCAGTGCCACAACGATGCCACCCGAAGGTTGCAGGAACAGCAACTCATATTCTGCTTGGGAACCCTGCAGCCCAATGGTATCAATGTGGACTTCACAAGCTTCAAAATCTCCCCTCCCCCTGCCGCAACCCAAAACCAGCCCAGCTCATCCCCACCTCCCTAACCTGTCCCTCCTCCCACCTCAAGCCGCACCCCCATCTCCTACCTACTAACCTCATCCCGCCCCCTTGACCTGTCCGTCCTCCCTCCTCCCTACCTCCCCACCTACATTCACCTTTACTGGCTCCATCCCCGCCTCTTTGACCGGTCTGTCTCCTCTCCACCTATCTTCTCCTCTATCCATCTTCTATCCGCCTCGCCATCTCTCCCTATTTATTTCAGATCCCCCTTCCCCTCCCCCATTTCTGAAGAAGGGTCTAAGCCCGAAACGTCAGCCTTCCTGCTCCTCTGATGCTGCTTGGCCTGCTGTGTTCATCCAGCTCTACACCTTGTTATCTCAAAGTCTTGGAAGGTTAGGTTGAGAAAACCAGGATAAATTATCTCCTTCCCTCAAATCTTTTAGCTACCTTTCTGAAGAACACTGGCTGCCCTGCAGGACTTGCTGATGTAATGATTTTCCTGTGCAACCTTAAGAGAACGATATTAAAAGAAAAGGTAAATGGACTGATTAGGTTTGGACTTGTTAGTCCACTGGCTTGGAGCTCGTGCACTGAAAAAGAGATGCAAGAGTTTTGTAGCATTCAATGACTATAGATACTGAGGCAGTTCATTATGAAGTGAATCACATCCAAGTCTGATTCTGTCTTCAACGTAAACCTCCTGTAGAGATTAACAGAGAATAATCAGGAATAGAAACGCAGCACTCTTTTTCTTCTACTGCTGCTGTGTTTCTGCTTTGACCCTTGAGATCAACTAACCCAGCATAGATTGACAATGAAACATGAAATATTCTAAGTTTGTGTGGATTAATTCACAGCAGGCAGTTTACTTGTTAAGTGTCATCCTGCTGCTACATCAACATTTAATTAAACCCAGTTCAGGTCAACTAAACATCGACTATACTCAAAGTGTCTTATTATCTTTGTACAGGCATTGTGTGCCTATCTATTTATAACACTCAGGCTACCAAGACGTGTGCTGAAAATTATGGATGAATCACACAACCAGGGACTTGTATTGACCTTGGCTCAATGCCAAACCTCTTGGCTCTGTATCAGAAAGTTTTGGGCTAAAGAAACACTCCAGAGTGTTCAACTTTAGAACATAATCTTAGATTTAATAATAGTGAATAGAGCACCGGTGAAGCAGGTCATAAGCAGGGAAAAACAGGATTAAGTTAAAATTAAAGGCAGTATATCTGAATGCAGAAAGCATTTATAACAAGATAGCTGAATTAATGACAGAATAGAAATAAATGGATTTAATCTAGAACTATATAAATGTGGCTGCAGCATGACCAAGGTTGGGAACTAAATATTCCAAGATATGGGACTTACAGATAAAATAAGCAACATGTGAAAGAGGGAAGACCCCTAACAATAACAGGTGATCTCAAAACTAAAGATCATCATAAAGGAGGGTTGGGGCGATTGGAAGATAGAAAGGATCTTAGTCTGAAAAATCAGGATGCAGAATTAATGCAGATGGAACTAAACAACAAAAGGCTAAAAAAAAAACTTAGGTAGTGGTTTACAGTTCCACTTAGTGTGGTTAGAGTTGGACAAGTTATAAATCCAGTATATTAGAGTATGAAACGAGGGCGATACCACAATTATAGGATCTTCTGAATGAATAGGTAAAACAAAATTGGCAAAGATAGTTGAGGTGAGTTCACAGTATTCTTGAAAAACGTCTTGAATGAATTCTATGCTCAGAAACTAGAGCATGTATTGGTTATTTAGGAACTAGTTTCATCTAATAAGATATGGCTTATTAGTAATTTTGCAGATAATTTGGGGAAAAGCGATCATTATGCAATAGTTCTGTTTAATGCTTGAGAGTCATGTAGCCAAGTCTAAAATAGGGTCTTAAATTTCTATAACGTCCACTATGAAGCCATAGGGGCAAGCTGGCTGAGGCAGTGTGATATGCCAGTATATAAGTAAAGACAAACATTTAAATAATTAATATATTTGCATAAATACAAATTCCCTTGAGCTATAACTCTCCAAAGACAAAGTTACACAGCTATGGATAACGAGAGAAGTTTAAGATTAAAAGAACATTACAAATGTTGGCAAACAGAGGAGCAAGTCTGTGGCTTTAAAACATCAAAGGACAAGAATGAAACTGATAGAGGGAGAAAATACAAGGTGAGAGTAAAACCAGCAAGAAATATAAAACAAATTATATAAGCTTTTGTAAAGAGAAATTAATGGAAATAAATTTTGGTCCCTTGGAAGTAGGGACAGGAATAAATAGTAATGGGGAATAAGGAAATGGGAGAGATGTGCAGCAACTGTGCGTGCCATCATGCCAGTAGTTGATGCAAGGAATATGTTGGGTACTGTGGGGAATCAAACAGCATGGTAAGAGTGAGGAATGAAAAAGTCTTTAGTTTAAAGAAAGGGGCTAAATGTTGACAAATCCCTTGGGCCTGATGGCCTACACTCTTGGAATTAACAAGAGGTGGCAGCGGTGATAGTGGATGCATTGGTTTTGATATTTTAGAACTCCCTCGATTTTAGAATTAAAAAGTTACAAATGTAACACTGCTGTTAAAGAAAAGGAGAGAAACAGAAAACACGGAACAATAGATTAGTCAATTACCCGGTCATCAGTAGCAGGGAATTACCAGAATCTGTTAAGGTTGTGGTGACAGGGCACTTAGAAAAATCTTTGCTGGGATCTCTCAGTATCTTAACTTCTATTCACAACCCATTCAAGGTAGTTAAAAAGTTGCATACATCAATCTTCTTTGGGGGGTACATAGAGTAAAGAAAGTGTCTAGAATCAGAGGAAGTCAGGGGATCTTATTAAGAAAATATGTCAATGGAGATATAGTTGCACTGATTGAAGTTATGTGTAGATTAGTAATATACACAGAAGAAAATGGTAGGATGCACAGTTAACTCCCATAGGGTTACTTTTAAAAGTGGTTAAAAACAATACAGCAAACAAAAATCCTGGGTGTTACATTCTTCTTATCCTTGGGCAACACCTTCCAAACAAATGATCACCAGCACTTCCAACTAGAAGGGCATGGAGAACAGATATATGGGAACACCACTGCCGGCAAGATCCCCTCCCAGCCACACACCATCTTGATTTGGAAATATATCGCCATTCTTTCAATGTCACTGGATCAAAAGCCGAGAACTCCCTTCCTAACAGCGTTATGGTGTGCCAACATCAAACAGACTGCAAGAAGGTAGTGCACAACCATCCTCTCAACGGAAATCAGGGATAGACAATAAATGCTGCTCCACCAGTGAAACACACCTCCCATGAATGATCTTTTTTTAAAAACATTGACATCTGGTCTGGGGAAGTAGACCTAGAATATTGTGTACAATCTGCTCATTGTATCATGCAGATTCTAGAGATGTGTGCTGAGAAAATTAGTGAAGTTGATTCTTAATGTTTGAGAGATGAGCCAAAGTCTCCTTAGCCTTCAAATAATGCTTCTTCATTAGTTTTAACAGAATAAATTGAACTCAGAACAGTACTTCCAGATATTGCGGCATGACGACAGTTGAACTGAGACACTTGCGCTTTTATCTCCATTTTTTCTTACTGTCAGCTCGTTGCAAAAATCAAATAGTCACAGATCCAAACCCATACACTTATCTTATTCCTGTAATGTAAGAACATGTTACTCATAAATCTTGACTGCTGGTAGTAGCAAAGTCCAATTTGCATGTCTGATCCAACCTCACGCCCTAGAGTTCAGAAAATGCCTGCATTCAAACAATGATTCGAGATTGGCATTCATACGAGAAGAGGGTGGACTGAT